TTTCCTATCAAGAATCGTCAGCAGGCCGAGCAAGGCCAAGAGGACGCAGCTGCCCAGGTAGCTGACCGCAGTTCGCCAGCCGCGGCGCAGTCACGAACTCTCATTCTGCGGCACGTACACAACAAGACCACCATCTCTTCAGCACGTTCCAACGATGGAGCAGCGAGCCCAAGACGCGCCGACAGAGGCCGAGGGAGTGGGCGCCCCATGGCAAAAATTGACTGCGCGCAACAAGGCAGGGCACCTCATGCAATGAAGTGGTTGGCCCACGCAGCCTGCACAACCGAAGACGCACCGGCGCTTGCCAGCCGTGCACCGAATGCGATCGACTAGGCCGAGGCAGAAATCTTGAGAACGGGAGTGCCCGAGCTGCTGGGAAGCAAACAGCACTACTTCTGAACGGACCCCCGCGGCACGCGGCGCACGATCTGCCGCCACCGAACGAGGTCCCAAGACAACCTCTGCTCGAAGACCACGCGTAGCAAATGAGGGACGCCACGAAGCGAATGCAACGCACGGGCAGCAGCCCGTTGATGGCGATGGCACATGTCTGACAACTTGACGCTCATCGGCAATCGCAGCAGCGCGGCGCCCCAGCAGCGCACGCGCACATCCAGCTGCCGGGCCCCCTGTCACAGCCCATGCACGCGACTGAGCCAGGGGCGGAAGCAGCCATTGCCCACCGGCATCGCGGAACCAATCCTTTCGCGGTCCGAGCCCCAGCAAGACCGCGTCGTCGAACGATCCAACCCCGGGCGAGCACGAGGTGCTGAGGGGGCCCCAGATGAGAGAGAAGCAGCGTGAGATAGTCCTGGGAGATGCCCGGGAAAGCCTGCCCAACGTCGGAGGAGAGCAAGAGAGGCCACTGACGATGGGCCAGGGGATGAACACCCGCGACGCGACTGCATCCGACTACTTAGCTCTCACACGCTGGATCCGAAATTTCGTCCCGCGACAAATCCTCGCTGCGAACGGGGTGCGACTTGATCTACCACTCCTCCAAGCGATCGGTCCGCGGCGGACGCCGAGATCTCGACGTGCGCAGCCCGCAGCTCCAGGTTCCTGACATCACCGGCAGAGCGGGCGCGGCCCTCGAAGTCTTCGTCATCGCGCTCCGATCCACTAGGCAAGAACGCCTGCTGGATCGACCAGTCGAACAGCGTCTGGCCACGCAGGGGCCAGTCCAGCACACGACAGAGGACGTCGAGGCAGCAGTCAGCAGATGCCCCTGCCCAGGCCGCATAGAGAAGCCCGCCCGCGCCGGGAGCAGAGCCTCGAGCACGAGCAACCACACGCCGAACAGAAGCTCTGCCAGGGGCGGGGATCTCTGGGGGCGTCGGGACGGGGAGGCGCAGGCCCAGGCAACTTCGAGCCTCGGAGAAGTCGGCGGCTCTCCCGGCAAGCACGCGTCGCCAGTGGCCCGAGAGCACCCGGGGCCGAGCAAGGGGATCTTCGGCCAACTCCGGGCCAGAACGAACAGCTCGCGACGCCAACCTTCTCGCGAGCGGTGCCCAGATAATTAGCAGCTTTGCGCCCGAGGTGCCGACGCCCTCCGAACGAAGAGGGGGAAGGGGTGAAGAGAGACTAGAGAGAACATCGGCAACATCACGAATTTCTTTTTCCGAGGGCCGCACGTGGACCCGTGTGACCACGAATGAAAGATTCAGGATTTCGCAGATCAACTCGTGGCCCATCGATCTCGATCAGGCCGGAAGCGGCCGGCGAGGTTTCGCCTGCCTTCGAGCAAGTTGGACGTCCTGGCGCCGCGCCGCTCGCGCGCAACTCCTCGCGGCAAGCAAGACAATCTCGTCAACTGCAAGATTGCGAATGAACCAAAGATCTCGCACGTCCCGGGCGGCCTCTTTCCAGGCATCCTTGAAGTGCTCCCGATGGTCCGACGGTGATAACAACGGAGCAGCATCGCGCCCACCTTCCACCACCCCCTCGACGCGCACCTGGCAAAGACATGCCACGGGATGGGCAGTTCGGCCCACGGCTCGGCACAACGTTGCCGCAGGGTGGTCAAGACGGCACAGCGCGATTGGAAACGCGAACGCGGGACAACGCCCCCGAGGCCCGTCAATAGTCGTAGACACAGCGCGCAGACGGCAGAGCATCCACCCAGGTATCGAAGAGAAAAACCTGCCCAGGCAATTCACGGAGCGAGCGTCCCTGGCGCAGTGGGTCGGGGCCTCCGAGGCGATCGCCGGCAGCGCCCCCAGGGAGCAGGGCCAGCGAGCGGCCGATGCCCGATGGCTCCGAGGATCAGAGGCGGCGTTGGCCGCGGCGGCGGCGCCTGTCCGCGGAACTACTCCAGACCTAGCGCCGCCGCCTCTAGCCGAAGCACCAGAGTTCGCGGCGCCAGTGATGGGCTTGGTTTCCACCACCACTACCATAGGTTGGAGGGAGAGGTCCTCCTCCTCCTCTTCTTTCTCCTCCTCCTCCTCCTCCTTCTCCAACATATGGTAGTGGTGGTGGAAATCAGTCCCATCAGCCAGATGAGGGGAAGGACGATATAACACCAGCGCTTCATCAGGGCCAAAACAACAGTTGCCCTGCATGATCGCCCAGTGCCGAAGGAGGTTTGCCGCGGCAGCCCGCGCATCGTCAATCCGTTCACAGACCAACCCCACATGCGCAGCTGTGAGCCCATGATTGCCGATGTTGAAGAACACCACCACATGATATCCATTTCCACGTGGATCGGCTCGCAGAAAACTTCCTGGCACGACGGGCGTGAAACAGCTGGACACATCAAAGCAAAACGCAACTCGAGGAAGAATAGCGGCGACACCTCCCGCTGCAAATCACCAGCGATCCACTAGACAAAACGAGGCGTGCACAACAGCATGTGGATGGAGACGCAACGCGTAATCCTCGAGACGCCTATCTGGGTGAACTTCCTGCAGCGCAAAAATAGCATCCTCCAAGCGAGCAGGTCAATAAAGAGACCGATGCGTCGGCGCTGGTGGGGACGCGACGGTTGCTACAGTCTCCTGGACAGCCGCCCTCGCGAGGCGGAGGTCACGGATGCCGTCGTCGTTGTAGGCGACTGTGCATGGGGCGCCGTCAGGATTAGCTTGGATCCTGGCAACGTTGGCCCAGCCATTCTTGCTGATGCCTCTCTCACGATCCACTGACCAACGTCTGCCGAACCTGTCTGACCAGCAATTGCGCACACGCCAAAATGCCACCTCAGTGTTGACTTGCTCTAGGATTCTGGCAGGCCCGAGATGAAGGCGACAAGGAATCGATCCAAAGACAGCATCCTGGAACTCGCGCCATTCGTCATTCTTGCGGGTGCGCCCAAAAACTTTGGCAACGTCCTTGAAGCGAGACCCGTGGCGCCGTTGAACGCGATAATGAAGCGTCTGGCAGGTGTGGGAGTGGGGCAGCTGATAGCACATTGGTCGGCACCAGAGCCGAGCTCCTCCATGAAAGGGCACAGGGATTCACGAACTTCTAGGAGGCCACACGTCTTGGAGGGCATATGAAAACAAACAACAACAACAACAACAACAACAACAACAACAACAACAACAACAACAACAACAACAACAACAACAAGACCAACACCAACAA